GTTGCGAGCGGGAATCAGGAATGAGGAGGATGGCAGCATCATGGGGAGCGCCTTGAAAGATGGACCGAGACTCGATGGTTACCTGGTGAGAAGCGGATGAGGCGGGTGTCTGGCCCTGAGAGGAGGTCGAATGGCCTGGAGTGGGCAGATCATGATGGTCTTTGGGGGTGCTGAAGCTAGGCAAGCGGTTTCGGGGAACGTAGGAGGCCGAATGCCGCTTTTTATGGCGTGATAGGAGATCGGCGCGAACGAACTGCTGTTCGCAGCCTTGAGAATCGCATCGGTATATCTCCTTGGGATCATGGTTGAGCTGATGGCGTTGGAGATGCTCTGCCCTGGAATACACCTTGTTGCAGTCCTCATAGTTACAGGCGAAACGCTTAGTCGCGCCTTTACGGCTTGCGCGCTTATACGACGGGCCGGGGGATGGTGAGGCGGCAGAGGGAGTAGAACGCGGGATGGTGCCGGCAGTGGTAATTGCGCCGGTGGGAGTTCCGGTGGCATGAGGGCCGGGGCCTTCGGGGAGCGGGAGTTGTTGTTGTTGCTGCTGGACCGACATGTTTGGCTGGTGGTGGTCTCGGTGGGCGAGGTGAGGTGTCACCCACTACATGCGCAATCGCTACAGGAGGTAAGAATGCATGCTCATTACCGTGTGCATATGCAAGTCGTTTGTTAGCAGTTGAGACGGCTGCTTTTGGTCATGTCGGGAAATCGTATGGCTTGGTGTGGGGAGGGCCTGTGTGGTTGTGGAACGGAGGACAAAAAGGAAGTGGACGATGGACGTTGGAGAAAAAGGTGGAGGAGGAGCCAGACGGAAGAGACGACGACGGGACGGGACTCGAGAGCTGGACGGGACGAGGCCCTCCACATTCGGACTGGGGATTGTCGGACCCGACGTGTGGGGGGATGAAGTGAGTGCCTGCACCGCTGCACACCAAAAACTAACCGCCGAAGAAGATGGCTGGCAGCGGGCATTCGATCCCCGCCTCCAGGGGCAAGTCTGCCTGAACTGAAAGGAAAGCAGCGCAGCACCTCCACTCGGTTGCTGGCCGGTGTCATTACCCCCCGGCCGACCTCTCTCTCGTGCCTGCCCAGGCGCTGCCCACACTTTCCCCAGACGCGACCGCGACGGGGGCCAATGGACTGTCAGGGATCAGGGTTTACCCATACCCAGCTGTGCGGAGAGCGGGTTTGTGTACCCACACTGCCACACCAGCCAGAACGGTCGCTGAAGACTTCAACTGAGCCTGTCTTCCTCATTGTCTCTTCCACTTCTCTTTACTTCTTGAAATGTTCCATGGTTCTGATGTGTCCTCATAACTCTCGGCAACCAAACCACCAAGTGACATTCTCTCCCTTCCCACTTCTTTGCGAACTTGGACAGTCCTTATTTTCCATGCCATAGCTTGGCTCCTTGGGTCTTGGAGTCTCCAGCCCCCAGGAGCTGTCTGTGTCTTCAGCGTGGTATAGTCTAATGGCCAGCCCCACAAATGAAGTTGAAACCTCATACACGGTGACTTGGGCCGGGCGTGGGGGTTCACTTGGAGGTGGAAAGCTTTTATTAACGAGTTGAGACTGTCTTGTCTCTTTTTGGTCACTTTCCCTCTTTTCTTCTTTACAGCTGTATCCTAGGCGGAAAATTCACTGACATCATCGCCTCCAATCCCATTCCTTGATGAATAGCATTCATGCCTCAATGTTTTTTCTTCTTTCTCTTATCATTTTAACCGCCGGCACTTACCCCCTGTATATCTACCTCATTCATAATGCGGGTCACTCTCCAGAAAATTATAGGTGAGCTACGGTAAGACCCTGGACAACGATGCCGTGATGCGGCGTGTGCTTCATGCGCCCCTTGGTCTCCAGCTACATACGTGAGATATCAACAACGACTTTCCGCGCTTTCCGCGCTCGATATCCTGTCTTATCAAGAGGTAAGCAGCGAAGCATCACAGCACTGTCTTGTCATCCACAGCTCCAGGCACCTTTGCTGTTTTATACCATCAATTTTGTGCACCTAACAGAACAGAAAAACAAATGCCATGAATCGTGTTTATGTGGTATCATCCAACACCTGAACCCTCAAACTTTCCCAACAGCCAAATCCTTCCTCGTTTTCCTAGTTTCGCGCCGACCCAGAACCCGAAGCCTCGGAAGTGTCGCCAACGGACATCTTGAACTCGACATTTCCGTCATCATCCACCTTCAAGCCCTCGGCAGCGGCCTTGAGGCCTTCCGCCGTGTTCTTGTCCTCGAGACCACCCGCCTGCTCGAGGAAGTAATCCACCACGTCGTGCTTCTCGCCAAAGCTGGCCAGGTCCAGAGGCACGTAATTCTTGTCGTTGGCCAGAGCCGGCGACGCACCAGCCGCCATGAGCAGCTTGATTACGTCGAGATGGCCTCCGAGAGCGGCCCAGTGAAGACCAGTGTTGCCATACTCGTTGGCGGCGTCAATGTACGCCTGCTTCTCCTCCTTTGGCCGGGAGGTGAACTCTGAGAGGATAAGAGTGACGATATCTGTGTGCTGTCAGTGAAAAGACTCACACTCATATTTGCATGAGAGGAGGGGCTTCATCACACATACCCAAGTGGCCGTTGCCCGCCGCCATGTGCAAGCAAGTCGACCTGCCCTCATCCTTTGCGCTTGCAATGATCTCTGCAACCGAAACCTTCTCTCTCTCGGCAAGGTCAGTGAGCGTGGTGGCCAGGTCATCCTTCTCACCCGCGCGGGCGAAATAGATGAGATCGTCAATCTCCTCCTCGTTCAACTGAGGGGCCATGTTGGTGATGGTGGTGAGGTGGGGTTGGAGATAAATTTGGTTGAGCTATATAAGTTGAGGGATATCTGAGTATGCTGGATATCGCCGAGAAAACAGGTGAATGATGAATGAGAGGCCAAAAGGAATGGTATCGTAGGGAGTGCTGGCAACTCGCAGACCGAGATCAACAACTGACATCAGAGAGACCCTCAGGCAGTGTTGTCGTTGCCTCTGCAAAATTTTTGGAGGGGTAAATTTTCTCCCAACTGTGCGCGGTTCACACTGTGGCTCCATACTGTGCTCCACCTTCCGCATTTGTCTCTTTTACCCATTCACTGTCCAACGACAACAATGTTTCTTGGACACTCTCATTCGCAAGGTCTCTGCAGCTGTGGAACATCATGGGGATAGATGGATTATTTTCCGAGAGGGGTTATCCAGACGTTGAAACTATCTTTTGGGGCAGTAGAATACCTCTCGTTGGTGTCATTCCGATCCTTGATTTTTAAAAAGCCATGCATGCTTGCCTTCTTCTTTTCGTCGGCAGATATCGACTTCGTCGAAGCTTTCCAACCTTGGATTCTTGTGCCCACTTAGAGCTAAAAAAAGTGACAAATTGAAGATCTCTAGTTCGAAGGCTTATGGCTCCTGCCCATATTGATAGAGAGCAGAACCCGAATAACGCAACCCTGGATCAGGAAGGAACTATAGCAAGTACGTCTTCGACACCCTCCAAATCCCGCCGTACTCACGACATCAATTAAACTAAGACTTCCATTTTAATCCTACGTGTATCTGTCATAGTTCGATTCTTGTTCATCGCTCAGGCATAACATATTGCTTTACCACAACCCATCCTCGAAATGGCCAACTTCGTGCAGCCTCCGGCGGACGACAGGAGAAGCCCCTCCGCAAAGGACAAAGATACTCGGCTAAAAGCCACCGAAAGTCAACCATCACATCCAAACCTGGTGCAGCACCACGAGCAATTTCTCATTAGGAGCGTGCCTGCCACTCAGAGCACCACCTTCAGCCAGTCTTCGACATCCACTTTACAACTACCAAGACAACATTACCAGACGCCGTTCCCATCGTACCGAATGCCAACCGAGGCGTCCCAGAGAAGAGCTTCCATTATTTCAACTAGACAAGAAAACCCGCAGAAACACAAGTCAACAAGCCATAGATATGATAGATACTCCGACGGACATCATCCTCACTGTCCCCCGCATTTCATGACGAGTACCTCGGCATCAAGAGCTAGGGAGCTACCTCCCCAAAAGAACAAAGTTTGACATCTTGACTGAACACATTAAGGAGACTCAAGAGCATGAAGTTGGTGCCAAAGAAGGTAGCGGTCATGGATGGGTTCGTCGCGTTCCGGATGACTTCTTTCAGTGTATGTAACCAGAGGGACGCACACACATCCATACGACCAACAAAAGGCCCTTTAACAATCCGAGGTCCAAGTACGGAGGGGAACATGGGATTAGCGACAAAACCTACTTAAGGTTCTGAGAAGTACGGTATTAAATGCCCCTGTTTTCTTCAAAAGCCCTGGAACCAAAAAAAAAAAAAAAAAAAAAAAAAAAAAAAAAAAAAAAAAAAAAAAAAAGGTGAGCAATTCGTTCTCTCTGTCAGTCAAGAATTGGGGTCTAACATCATCAAATTATTCTAGATACTACAAGTCTGTACCGTGTTGCTCAGCAGATTGAGAGGGAAATGGCTGGCTTTTACGCGGGAAGGGGGGATCACTTTTGATGATGAACTCCGTAACGGAAGGAGTCCATCCAACATGTGCATGATGTGATGACCTACGAGACTACCCACAAGTTCGGAGATAGGTCTATCAGGCTCTCAGAGCAGGAGACTGCCTTTTGGATTAATTCTGGGGTTTGACTACTCTGAAGAGTCTTCCAGTCTGTGTCAGCGGAGGCGGGTTGAAATGTTACACTAGAGGAGAAACTGTTTGTTTTGGACTCAAAACTCTTGGAACTGTGAAAGCAACCGCTTGTACCTCAGCCTGATGTTGATCATGGCTTCAACACGCCAGCTTTGTATCTGCGAAGATGTCAATGGGACTTCCGAACATGCTTCCTTTTCCCGTTGCTTAATGTTGCATGCACACGCATGCACCGCCACATCCCCTTTTCTTTACAATCCTCCCACAACCCGCTCAAGCAACCCCCAACACCAATACAGGTACTTAAAGCATAATTTGGGGTCATCGTAATAACCAAAGTTTGATTAGCTCAGTTGGGAGAGCGTTGTATCCCAAAGGACGAAGGGTCAGGAGTTCCAATCTTCTATTGAATGAACATTCTTTGTGTTTCTTCTGATCTGAAGGAACACCTTGAGGGAATCTTTTTTTGAAAGTTCTTTTCTAACTTTTCTAAGTCTCAGTTTTTCTTTGTTTATCCTCTTAAAAAAAGAAAAAAAAAAACCTTTCTTTTTTTTCCCCCTCATTATGATATGTCCGAAACGACATGTTTTCCCCGAACCCGTCCCGACTCCCTTGTTAACACGAGTTCAAATACTACCTGCTGTGGGATAACAGTCGCTCATCTAACCAGTTCGTGATATCGCCGAATTCATCAACGGCCTGTATTTCCGCCTTGACATTGAGCATCAACATTCTCTGCAGTTCTAGCTTGTGCTCACGCCCTGCTGTGTCAATTCTAGCCGTAGTGCATATGTTTCGTAAAACGCTGACGGCCTTCTCCCTGTCTCCATCGCTGAGTGGCGATGTGCAGTCGCCTGCGTGACTTTTCGTTCTTCGAGTTCTCGGCCTCTTCACCGGGCGTTCGTCTTGGAATGCTGTGCAGTTTGACAAGTTAGCACAAGTCATGTACCTGCCTAACGAAACACTCACTATCTACAGAATAAGCGATTGATTCCTGACTCGAGAGGTCTTGGCTCGATTGGCTGTCCTGGCTGTTGGCGGAAAGATCTTGCGTTATCACTGTGTGCGAGAGGACATCACTACTGCGAATCCCAAGCCATCTTAACCTGGGCACTTTAGTGCGCTCCTCGTGATCAAGGCGCTGGCTGCCGTATTGGTAAGTCCGAAGAATAGAGATCCCATGGGGATCGAAGTCGACCAAAGCAAACATAGGTAAACGTGGTCGAACTGAATGGACTGTTGCGAGGAACTTTCGTGTAGCAAGGTCGGGATACCCCTTCCCCTGAAAGCGTAACCGTTAGCACCGTTGCTGTTGTAGAGGTTGGCATAGCCTTACAGTCACCAGAATCCCACTTCCTGCCCGAGAGACTGTATGGTAGAGTGAAGCAGACAGGGTTCGGAAAGTGGCCTGCCCGTATACGTCAGTGGAAAAGTCTTGGCAGGGATATACACAGGCGGACGAAGTCATGCCTCTTTCTCAATGACCAGAAGCCATTTCACGGATTGAAAGTCGATCCTGTCGACTGCGCTGATTGATGGCAACAAAACACCCTGGAACAGTCAGTCGAGGGAGCTGCTGGGCGGGCAGAAATACTTACACTGTCAGAAGACTCGGCACAGTTGATGCAGATACCTCCCCGCATCATAAGTTTCACCTGACCAGCAATGAGGCCCTTTGCGGTGGCTACCTAAAACACCATGAGCATCACGAGTGGTGGGGATTGACCGGAAAGGTGTCGAATACGTACAATGTTCAGATCACCACGCCCTACTCCAAGTGTGAACGCAAGATTGTCCACCATCTCGTCGACCACGCTCTGTGACCTGAACAGTTCCATGTTCTGGTAGTAAATGTTCCTGTTCGAGTTAGAAACAAATGTACATGTACCGGTATGAACACTGAAGGTAACGCACCTCTTGGTAATAAGAGTTCCGGACAAGAGTGCTTCGTGAGAAAGCTCGATGATGCGGAACAAGGCTTCTGTATTCAACATGGTCAGTGCTGCAGAGCTTAGCCAACAACAACTTGGTGGCGTGACTGACCAAATCTCCGGAGCTCTTGCGGGTTACGTCCCGGAAAGCGTACAGTATCCATATGCCGTCCATCTCTTGGGTTTGGGACAGAAGCAGTCGGGTTGAATGCCTGCTCGTTAGTCGACCGCCGATAGGGTATGATAATGGGACCCCCAACACTGACAGCATCCACGATGGTCTCGAACAAGGTTTCGATCTTTGCGAGGACATCATCGTTGGATTGGCTCTGTGGTATGAACACAATGTTACGAGGCAGCCTACTACTACCAGCTCTTACGGATGAAGGTCCGGGTTGTCTAAGAGGAGGAGAGAGTTGTCCATGGGCGTTGCTAGTCGTGGGCTGAGAAGGGCGATGGAGGAACTGGTTGCGTATCGGACAGAAATACATGCTTGCAACGAGCGGTAGTGAGAAGAGAAACGAATGGTGTCTAATAGTATACTTGTAGTTGTGATCGATGGAGTAACGCTACTTTAGCCTGAGCGAGGAGTGTAAGTTGAACGGCAGCTCCTCGTTGGAACCCGGGTCGAATTTTTGGCGGATAAGCAGAAGCTCGAATACAGCTTAATACTGAAGAAAATTTTCTCATCTTGGTGGCGAGCCCTGATGAAATTTCCAAAAGGGGAAATATCATAGGGAAGGAACCTCTCCTACTTCGAGGTGCTCCTTCCATGCTAGAGGCTGTTGATGTCTGACGGAATGTCGTTGCTATCATGATAGTAGACCCACTCGACTTACACGGCACAGTGCAAACTATACACCATCCGATCTGCATCTCCAGACCCCCTCTGCTTCCCCCACACCCCATGGCCCCCAAGATTCTTGGCGCTGTTGGCCCTGTCAATTGTGTCAAAGCTCCTACTTTACGTTCGGGAACACGACGCGACCCGTCCCCGATTGGACTGGCGCAGGGCCAATTCATTCAGGGGTAATGCTGTGTTGTCATCAGTTGCGCTGTGAATTATTCGTACTTACTCTCCTGATTTTTTTTTTTTTTTTTTTTTTTTTTTTTTTTTTTTTCCATCTTTTGGTCTAGCGCCAGTTTTCTTTTCTTTATTCGTTTTCCAAGATCGAACTAACTCATCGTCATGGCGAGGAAGCAGGCCACTGAAGCCCCGGCGGCCTCGAACGAATCATCCAAGAAACGGTCCAGCGCCGACAGCGATGATTACGATGCCAAACGACCCCGGCTACAGGAGAGCACCGATAAGGCGCGTTGGCGTTTGAGCAGCGAAGGCGGCCGGCACACATGGCATTACCTCGAGGATGACGAGGCCGCAAAGAAATGGCCGCAATCATATGCTGACAAGTACTACCTGGGAATGCCTTTGGTAAACCGTCCAGCCGTAAGCTTACAAAATGCTGCTGTCACATGCTAACCTTGCGCACCAACCTCACAGGAGCTCCCCGAACTACCCAAGGCGACAAACCCCCTCGATGCCGTACGGAATGGCCTTACTTTCTTCGAAAAGCTCCAGCTCCCCGAGGGCCATTGGGGTTGCGAGTACGGCGGTCCCATGTTCCTCCTCCCCGGTGTCGTCATCGCCCGCTACGTCACCAAGAACCCCGTCCCCTGGTACTACGCCACCGAGATCAAGAACTACCTGTTTGCACGAGCGAACCCCGTCGACGGCGGATGGGGGCTACACATCGAAGGCGAGAGCACTATGCTGGGAACGACGCTGAACTACACGACATTGCGCCTCGTAGGCGTGGAGGCAGACCATCCGGTCATGGTGAAAGCGCGGGCAACAATGCATAAGATGGGAGGTGCTATTTGCGCACCACACTGGGCCAAATTCTGGCTCACGGTATTGGGCATCATGAAATGGGACATCGTCAACCCTGTCCCGCCCGAGCTCTGGCTTCTCCCCGACTGGGTGCCCATTGCGCCGTGGAGATGGTGGATTCATATGCGCCAGGTCTTCCTGCCCATGAGTTATCTATGGTCCAAGAAGTGGCAGGCGGAGGAGACGGACTTGATTCGGGAGTTGCGTAAGGAGTTATTCGTGGAGGACTGGGACAAGATTGATTGGGCTGGAAACCGCAACACCATTCATCCTAACGACAACTACCACCCAAAAACCGCCTTTCTCAACACGGTCAACTGGCTTCTCGTGAATATCTGGAACCCCGTATTCCGTACCAAGTACTTGGTAGACAAGGCAGAGAAGTGGGCGTCCGATCTTATCGACATGGAGGACGAAAATACCGATTATTCTGATCTGGCACCTGTCAACGCTGCGATGAACACCGTTTGTTGTTACGTTCGGGATGGGCCTGGCGCTTACTCCGTGCGAAGGCACGTGGAAAGGCTAGATGAGGTCCTCTGGGTAAACGCTGAGGGTATGCTTTGCAATGGCACAAATGGTGTGCAATGCTGGGACACTGCATTCGCCATTCAGGCTATCATGGATGCTGGCTTGACGGAAGACCCACGCTGGAGGCCGATGCTAATCAAGTCATTGGAGTTTCTCGAGGATCAGCAAATTCGGGAGAACGTCAAGGATCAGGACAAGTGCTACCGCCATCCCCGCAAGGGTGCTTGGGCATTCAGCAACAAGGACCAAGGATATGCAGTCAGCGATTGCGTCTCTGAGGCATTGAAATCCGTCATCATCCTGCAGAAGACACCAGGCTTCCCTACTTTGATCGACGACCAGCGTATCTTTGATGCCGTTGACACCATGCTTACCTATCAGAACCCATCTGGTGCCTGCTCATCCTACGAGACCCCTCGGGCCGGACAGTGGATGGAGGTTCTGAATGCCGCAGAAGTGTTTGGCAACATCATGGTTGAATTCGAGTATCCCGAATGCACGACGGCCGTTCTTACAACCCTCTCGCTCTTCAAGAAACACTGGCCCAATCATCGCACAGACGAGATTGACAGCTTCATCACCCGCGCTGTCAAGTGGATCAAGAGCGATCAGAAGCCTCATGGTGGTTGGTATGGAAACTGGGGCATTTGCTTCACGTACGCCACCATGTTTGCTTTGGAGAGCTTAGCTAGTGTCGGTGAAACGTATGAGACCAGTAAATATGCCAAGAAGGGATGCGACTTCCTCATCTCCAAGCAGAGAGAGGACGGTGGGTGGTCTGAAAGTTACAAGGTAAGTTTCGTCCTTGCATGTCACGGGCTGGGCTATGCCATTTTTATTTGATGCTAACCCGAGTCTAGGCTTGCGAGACGGGCGAGTACGTTGAGCATCCAACTGGCTCCCAAGTGGTCATGACCGCCTGGGCGCTCATTGGGCTAATCAAGGCCAAATATCCCGATATTGAACCTATCAAGAAGGGCATCAAGTTGATTATGGATCGTCAACAACCCAACGGAGAGTGGCTGCAAGAGGCCATTGAGGGCGTCTTCAACAAGAGTTG